AATAGAAGCCCTGAAACATGAAGCATTCTACAATTCTACAATTCACTTAGCAGACTCTTTTATCCAAAGCAACGTACATCAGAGAGTAAGAATAACACGAGCAAGGATCTAGAAAAAAGGGAACAATGTCAGTAAGAGCAAACGATCAGCTTTGAGTCTGATTGGACACACAGGTGCTGACAGGAAGTGACCAGAGGCAAAGCACAACATTGAGGGCAGTTCTTGAGAGCTCTAATCAGTATAGAAACCATCTTATAAGTCGTCGTTATCAAACAAAAACCATCGTCATTACCATCATCATCATCAATAATATGGAGACCATCATCATTAAGTTAGTAGGTATTCATGAAAGAGCCGGCTCTTTAGCTTTTTCTTAAAGGTGCAGAGGGACTCTGCAGATCACATGGAGTTTGGAAGTTCATTCCACCACCGGGGGGCGACAGAGGAGAAGAGTCTAGTCAGAGACTTAGGACCCTGTTGTGAAGGTTGGATCAGACACCTTTCATTGGCAGAGCGTAGTGGGCGGGAGGGAGTGTAGACCTGGATCAGAGAGTTAAAGTAAGGAGGAGACGTTTCTGTGTCTGTTTTGTAAGCGAGCAGCAGAGTTTTAAATTTGATGTGAGCAGTAACTGGGAGCCAGTGTGAGGAGATGAACAGCGGAGTGACATGTGCTCTTTAGGAAGGTTGAAGACCAGTCGTGCTGCTGCATTGTGTATCATTTGCAGAGGTTTCATAGTGCATGTAGGAATATCTGCCCGTAGAGAGTTGCAATAATCGATGCGTGATATCACAAGAGCCTGTACCAGGAGCCGTGTAGCATGTAGCGTGTTCTGACAGGTAAGGTCTGATCTTCCTGATGTTGTTCAGGGCAAATCGACATGACCGGGCAATCGAGGCTACTTGAACCTTAAACGTTAGCTGGTCATCAATCATGACACCCAGGTTCCGGGCAGACTTTGTGAGCATGAGTTTGGTTGTTCCAAGCTGGATATTGATCTGTGGTTGCATAGAGGGACTGGCTGGGATGACAAGGAGCTCAGTCTTTGAAAGATTGAGTTGAAGGTGGCGTTCATTCATCCATTTAGAGATATCAGCGAGGCATGATGAGATTCTTGCAGAGACTGTAACATCGTCTGGTGGGAATGACAGGAAGAGCTGGGTATCGTCAGCATAGCAGTGGTATGAGAAGCCATGAGAGCGGATTATTGAACCAAGTGAGCTTGTGTATATGGAGAAGAAAAGGGGACCAAGCACTGACCCTTGAGGTACCCCTGTGGATAAGCTGCGCGCTTTGGACACTTCTCCCTTCCACGACACTCTAAAGGATCGCCCAGTAGGTAGATGAGGATTTTACCTTATTCTGGTTGTATTGCACCGCGGGACGGAGACAAATGAAATTTCGATTCCACTGTATGTCTGGCATATTTTGAAATTGACAATAAAGTTGACTTTGACTTTTCACACGAACCAGCAGAGGGCAGATCCTGAGATGTTCAGAGAGCGTGGATAGGAGGATTTGATGGTTGACTGTGTCAAAGGCAGCAGACAGGTCTAGCAGTAATAGAACTGAGGACTGACCCGCAGCTCTGGCAGCTCGTAGCGATTCTGTTACTGACAGTAGTGCAGTTTCAGTAGAGTGGCCCCGCTTAAAGCCTGACTGATTTGGGTCAAACAGATCGTTTTTGGACAGGACCGTGCATGACCTTCTCCTGCCTCTCTGATGACAAACTTCTTTGACCCAGAATTTCCTCCAGCTTCATGTTGAACCCAAGCAGGAAAAAAAAAAGAACTAACCAGATGGATCGCCTCCATGCGCCTGGTTGACACATTTCTGACTTCCTTCCACTTCAAGAGCCGTCCACATTTTTTTTTAAGGAAAGACACAGCCAGCCGTTCTGCTCGCACTCCCCCCGTCTGAGTAACCATTCAAAGCCAACACTCACTCCTCCGAGCATCTGTTGAGTCACAAAGAAACATCGCACTTCATCTGTTCTCACACCAGCCGTGGCAGCTCACCAAGCCAGGAATATACAGCCTGCCTTTGTGTCGTTAGGAGCTCAGAGTCAGTGCTTACACTTTAAAGGCTGCAAATTAGAAACCCACAACTTGAATTCTACTGGCTCATCCGTCTTGTCAAACTGATCCTTTAATAACAGGGCTGTACTCTGGCACATTAAATTCATGTAAGACCCATTATTTTTATGCTAAATGCTTCAGCTGTCACGATTATTAATGTTTAATAAATAAGGCTTTGCAAAAGACACCGAATGCACATTTAAACCTCCTGTGCAGCCGTGTGCCCAAAGAAGAGCTGCATCACACATTTGGGTCTCATCACAGATAGTTTGCCATCAAAAAAGCTCCAAATCTTAAGTTTCAAAAAGGTCTGAAGTGAGAGCTAACGCTAGCTGCTCAAAACTAACCCGTTACCTGTTCAGTCAAGATGATTCAGACAGACTGTGAGAAGAAAGAAACATGCAAAGCAACCTTTAGTCCCCACAGAAGGATCATTAGCTTTCATCCTACTCTCAGATTAGACTTGAGTCTCAAAGGCTGCTCAAGCAGAGGTTTATTATTCAGGAAGCTGTCTGCTTCAAAAAGCTAACACAGGATGAGGCTTTGATGGAAAAGTGTTGTTTGTGTTGAGAAAACATTAAATTGTGTTTTAGGTGGACAAACTATTGATTGAAGACTTTTATAGGACTTGCACACCTGAAGAAAACTTCCTGAAGTTTATCAGTCTGAGCGTCATGTGTGAACACAAACAGCTGAGTGTTTCTCTCTTCATCTCTCCTCCAGCCTCCTCGTATTTATTCTGCACAAAGTCAGACAACCAGTTCAGGAGAATATCAGGAGCAGTCCTCCTGAAGGTATATATATACGTATATGTCATCTTTGATTCCTCTGGAAACATAGGGAGTGTCCAAGCAACTCAGCAAATAAAAATAATAATAATAATAAAGCACAAAGCTCGGGGATGAAAACACTTCCACAAGGATATATTCTGTACAGCGTTCATAACCAGCACTGTTGTAAAACATCTTTCCTCATATAACTCCACATCTCAATCCCTTCAGATGATTTACAGCCACTATAAGATATTTGATATCTCCACTCAGTCCTGATATGTGAGGGACGACAGAAGCCCCCGGCAGAATAGATGGAGCTCAGCAGCCTCTGAATCAAATCCAACTGGTCGGGGTGTGTTAGGTGACGGCTGCTGAGAGCCAGCTGTAATGAAGAGATCCAGAGTCTACATGTACATATGGAAGATTACCCATCCTGGAACATATCTTCAGCCATCAATAACACTCCTTAATCCAACAGTAAAAGGAAGGTTTAGATTAATCATTTAAAGGTCACTTATGATGCAAAACACACTTCACCATCTCCCTCTAACATGTGTCTCTAGTCTGTCTAAAAACCCCGCAATGATGAGAAAAGTCCATCCTCTCCGTCTTCTGCCTGCTCCACTTTTCAGAAAATGTGTGTTCAAACAGGCCGAGATTTTCCCTTCATGACATCACAAAGGGCAGTAGCCCCTCCCCCAGGTGGGTGACCTGTTTGAGCACACATTTTCTGAAAAGTGGAGCAGGCAGAAGACGGAGAGGATTTGTAGGGGGGGATTTGCAGCCAGACTAGAGACACATGGTAGAGTTAGAGTAACATGGTGAAGTGTGTTTAAATAATGTGACCTTTATATATTGTCTTTAACTTTGTATTCATAATGTAACTGAATTACTCTCATAAGAGGTTGTGCATTGAAAAGTTTACATCTGTGAGCGTCTGATAGGTTTCAGTGTTTTGCTGAGTGCTTTAAGTACTTCGACCTGCTGCAGAGTCACAACTTCGCTTTAGAAAAGCTCAGATTTGGTCAAACTGGTCTTTCAGTGGGACTTATTTAAAACAATCAGCAGCCACACTCCTTCAATGGAGACCTCCTCCACACGGAGAGAAAACCATTCTGAGGATTGAATGAGACTCGAGCATGCAGGGAATAAGATCGGACTCATTCACAAACAGTCACCACATAAATCAGCCAGGGAGAAAACCCTCCCAACGTTTGTCAGTATTTATCTGGAGCCTCTTTGCTGACAAATAACCAGAAACTGCAAAGAGGTGAATCCGACTGTAAAGGAAACAAGGTGAGTATTGCATACATCAGAAGCTAAATATAAAAAGGCAGCTCGGTGCCTTTATGAATCATCACAGACGAGCGTCTGCACATGTAAGGTCTGCCTCGTGCTCCTTATAAAGTTTCTACTGTGTTGTATATGCATGAAGGCAACACACATTTAAAGTAAGTGAGACCGAGACTGTCTGCTTTTCTAAACCTGCAAGGACAGAATTGATCAAGATGGCTTCTATAATATCTCATTTTCTGGACATGGAGCGTCTGAGGCCGGGCTGGAGGAACAAATCAAGGGTAATGTGAATACAACTGGGCCAAATGTGAGGGGGGGGGGATGAAAGATGCTCTTTCTTCCATGGAGGCGTAGGATAAGATATTATGAAATATTTAAGTGGATTGAAAATAGCATGCTCCTCCAGGCTGTGTGTTGAGTCCCCAAAACCCCCAGACATGAAATGATATACATGATAATCTAAATATGGTGTAAACACATGGGTGACTCTGTGTGTGTGTGTGTGTGTGTGTGTGTGTGTGTGTAACTATAGTTTGGAAAATTAAATACGAAGTCTCACAGCCAAGATTTCATCCATATTTGGGCCTGATGGATTATGTAACTTTTTCTCTTGGATCTTGAGCTCTCCTCCAACGAGGAAGCACAAATACAAGTTATTCAAAGCCCAAAAGGAAGATGGCAGCACGTGTCAAATCTCTAGTTAAATATTTATTTTAAATAATCACTTTTGCAAAATAGAGCAAATGACAGTAAAGCCTGACAGACACAACATGGCAGTAAAGTGGATTTAGCACCACAGACAGATTCAACACATGGACAATATAATGGTGAGAAAGTGAAAATACAGATTCTTACCAAATGTTCTGTCAGCCAGGGCAGGTGAGGAGCAGAGGCTGACCGCCAATGCAGCGACGAGGACGGGACACCACCGTGAATCCATACCGCTCCTGCCTGTGTTCATTGCGGTGCTAATCCATCTCTTAACCCCGCTAGAAACGCGTGTTTTACCGCCGCCCCAGGTGTCAGCTGCTCGGTGGAGACTCTCGGATTAAACACGCATGTTTTTAGGGGGGGGGGGAAGCGCGAGAGCAAAAACAGAAATTGGTTAAAAGGCAACACAATTCAGGCGTTGTTTCAGCACCACAAACAGCAAGCAGCCTCACGGAGGAGCCCCTCCTAAGTTTGTGACGTCAAACACACATGGTGAGGAGGGACGATGTGTTCAGCATGCAACAGCGCCGGTGAGGATGGATGGAAGGATGAAGGGAGGATGGAGGATGGATGGAGGAAAGAAGGTAGTATGTAGAAAAGATGGAAGAAGGATGGATGAGAGATGAATGGAGGAAGGAAGGTAGTAAGGAAGGAAGGATAAACGATTGATGGAAGAAGGAAGGAAGCATGAGTGGATAGATGGATGCATGAAGGAAGGATGGAGGATAGATTGAGGAAGGGAGGGAGGATGGAAGGATGGAGGAAAGAAGGTAGTAAGGAAGGTAGGATAGAAGATTGATGGAGGAAGGAAGGATGAGTGGATGGATGGATGCATGAAGGAAGGAAGGAAGGAGGATAGATTGAGGAAGGAAGGATGGATGATGTATGAAGGAAGGATGGAGGATAGATGGAGGAAGGATGGATAGATGCATGAAGGAAGGATGGAGGAAAGAAGGATGGATGGAGGAAAGAAGGTAGTAAGGAAGGATGGATAGAAGATTGATGGAGGAAGGAAGCATGAGTGGATGGATGGATGCATGAAGGAAGGAAGGATGGAAGATAGATTGAGGAAGGAAGGATGGCAGAAGGATGGATGGATGTATGTATGAAGGAAGGAGGAAGGAAGGATGAGGATAGATGGAGGGAGGATGGATGGATGCATGAAGGAAGGATGGAGGAAGGAAGGATGGATGGATGCATGAAGGAAGGATGGAGGAAGGAAGGATGGATGGATGCATGAAGGAAGGATGGAGGAAAGATTGAGGAAGGATGGATGGATGCATGAAGGAAGGATGGAGGAAGGAAGGATGGATGGATGCATGAAGGAAGGATGGAGGAAAGATTGAGGAAGGATGGATGGATGCATGAAGGAAGGATGGAGGATAGATTGAGGAAGGAAGGATGATAGATGCATGAAGGAAGGATGGAGGATAGATTGAGGAAGGAAGGATGGATGCATGAAGGAAGGAAGGATGGAGGATAGATTGAGGAAGGATGGATGGATGCATGAAGGAAGGATGGAGGATAGATTGAGGAAGGATGGATGGATGGATAAATGCATGAAGGAAGGATGGAGGATAGATTGAGGAAGGATGGATGGATGCATGAAGGAAGGATGGAGGATAGATTGAGGAAGGATGGATGGATGGATGGATGGATGCATGAAGGAAGGATGGAGGATAGATTGAGGAAGGATGGATGGATGGATGGATGGATGGATGGATGCATGAAGGAAGGATGGAGGATAGATTGAGGAAGGATGGATGGATGCATGGCAGAGGAGACAGGTGAAGCCTCCTAAACGAGCAATGACAGCAGAAAACAGCAGAAAATAACTGAAATAAGCCGATTGATGAATCTGAGTATCTTGAGAGAAAATGTAAACATACGACTCCAGATGTGGATTCATGAGAGATGCATGATCACATATGACTCCCATCACAGCTGAAGAAATATTCAAGTGCTCAGTGTTTGCCCGGCCCTCGTGTGTCATTATTCATCTGGCCACACGAGGGTGCCAGCGTGCAGCTCTGTCCAGGTCTGGCAGGACGAAATGACTGAGGGGCTCTTAAAAATTCCAAGAGGGCATTTTCCCCCATAAAATGAAATAAATAAATGTAGCTTACTGACACATGAGCCCAGGGAGGAAGTCAGGGTGCTGAGGGTGCTGAGGGTGCTGAGGGTGCTGAGGGTGCTGAGGGTGCTACAGCGTTGAAGTGAAGTGGGTTTACAGCGTGAGAGGGAGAGACGAGCGAGAGTGATGGGCGGTACAGTTACACTCAGAGGTGAAGTGTAACCATGGTTACTAATGCTGTTATCTCCTCACTTTTAATTATTTAAATATTGTAAATAGTGTAATAAATTACAATTACAAAAAAACAATATCACAATGTAAATCAAGTGAGATTAAATAACTAAATAACATACAGTACATAAAGAACAAATGAAAGACAGTAATATACAGAATATAAAATAAACCAATGAAGACACATTTAAATAGTGAAATCATTATTTAAATAGAGGGAGAAAGGTTTTATTATAATGCAGACTTTTGTTATATTTTCTGTTGTTAATTTAAAGTAGTGATTTCAGTCGGGACTTTAACTCTAGATTAAAGATGTATTAAATTAATCCACGCTCGTTTGTTTTGATTTGGAGGCGCACATGAAGTGACGATTTGATTTACATTTAATTTCGCACAGCATTGAAAGGATTCATCCGATCCATACTGCATGAAACCAGGAAGTTAGTATCCATACTGAAATGTTCAGTATACTGAGGTGGACCCAAAAAATGACCACTGAATGACCACGAGGGTTCAGTCTACTGAAACTCCTACTGAAAAGTACTGACTACTGAACTGTGGATATTCAGGAAGGGCCAATGTTTTTTTTACATTTGGTCTGCAGTACTCATTTTAAACACTAGGTGTCAGAGTTGCTCCTTTAAAGTGTCACAGACTCATCTCTGCTGTACAGCTGTAGATCGACTCTAATCTGGACAGGTCTGATGTTTTTAATGATACACATTCTTACTCCTGCTCGGGTCATCAACATTTTCTTGGTTCAGTTCTAGTTTTTAATTGTACATGTTTAATGTTGATCTCTGTAGAGGTTTCTTTAAATCGCGTGTTGTCAGATGCAACAAAAGTTTCATGTTTGTGTCTCTAGCTGCTACTGGACGCTCTGAATTTCTCTCAGGGTCAATAAAGTATCTATCTATCTATCTATCTATCTATCTATCTATCTATCTATCTATCTATCTATCTATCTATCTGACGGTCCGTCTGTCAGTCCAGTCCTCCATTCCTTACAGCTTAAAGTCATGCATCACTGACGTATTTCTTCTATATTTGAACAAATAAGCTGAATAAGTCTTACTTTTCAAAAGTCCAACAAAAGCCCAAAAGGAGAAACGAAAAGGAACCACGAGGAGACACAAAACATAAAGAGAGGCAGAAACACAGAGACTAATCACAGAGGGCAATCAGACACAGGTGAGACTGACGAGACACAGGTGAGACTGACGAGACACAGGTGAGACTGACGGGACACAGGTGAGACTGACGAGACACAGGTGAGACTGACGAGACACAGGTGAGACTGACGAGACACAGGTGAGACTGACGAGACACAGGTGAGACTGACGAGACACAGGTGAGACAGACGAGACACAGGTGAGACTGACGAGACACAGGTGAGACAGACGAGACACAGGTGAGACTGACGAGACACAGGTGAGACTGACGAGACACAGGTGAGACTGACGGGACACAGGTGAGGACAATGAGTGCAATCAAAAAGGGAGGAAGTAACCCGAGACCAGAAACTTCAAAATAAAACAGGAACTGAACAAAAATAAACTTGATATTCAAATAGAGTTAGAAATCACTTTACATTTGAACTCTTCCTCAAGAATCATGATGTTCAACAGAATCAGAGGAAAAGCATCTCATTCTCTTTCATTCATTTGGTGTTTTGTGAAATGAGGGGAGTGAGGTATCCAGTGTTAATTCTTCAAACATTTTATTAGAGTCCTCTTTCCTTTAATGACACACTAAACAGAGCACTTGTCTCCTTTCCTTGTTAATCAATGAAGTCATTTTCAAAGCCACACAGCCTGATCTGCGTAATCTTCAGGCAGCGGTGGAACTGCTGACAACAACTATGGGCCACAAGAACCTTTTAGTTCTTTGAAGAGAAGTCCCTGGAACTTTTAGTTCTGGGGACCGTTGGTGGAAAAGGGGTTTTTCTCTCCAGCCTCGAGGCCGCTCGGTTCCCATCAAACTGTCAGTGATTGCAGGTCAGCACAGGTCCTATACAGATGAGCTGTGAGCCAGAGGGTCTTAAAGTAATATCCATGGACTGTGACGAGCAAAGGATCATATCTTATATCTCTTCACACACAAACCAACAGATCCTCACAGGAGCTTCAAATGTCTCTAAATCAAAATAAAACACGACTGAGAGCTGAGCACAACTGGATCCCACACTGAACTTTTGAACCCAGCTGATTTCCTGTAAATGGAGGAGGAGGGGCAACACTAACCACATGATCCAGGCTCATGAGAGGAGGTGGGACGGTGGAAGTGTTCAGTCAGTAAATACTCCATTTTGAATAGACAGCAGCAGAGAACTAAAGAGTGAAGCGGGGTGAGTGTTTATTCAGAGTTTTTATATCTTCACTTCTTTAGTCTCAGTTTTCTCCTGAGAACTGAACACAGAGAGTTTCAAATGAAGTCACGCTCGCCTCTTCTCTCAAGGTTAATTTCATCTAAACTACATGAGCTCGTGTACCGCTTGCAGCTAGTCTGTTTTAAAGGCCCGTCTTTATTGATTTCTGTGAAATGAAATTATGTCTCACTGTAAAGGAGAGCTACGGCCCGCTGGACACATCCTCTCAGCGCAGTTCATAATCCTAAACTAGGATCATATATCCCTTGTTATGTGAGATTAATGTGACTTGTGTGAGTGTGTATGTGTGGCATTCGATCAAACTGCTTTCTTTTGTTTCTTGTGTGTTGATCTCTCAGTGAGTGTTTCTGTTTTTTCCTCTCAGACTTCAGATCAGAACATGGACGTGTGTTTAGAGGAAGCGGAGGACGAAGCAGAGTCTCCAGACATAAAGTAAGCCTCCTGACAAAGAAACAAACCTGGAAACCTTCTCATCATCTACAGCTGTAGCCCTTTTTTGTATTTACAGCTTCTTTTACAGCATTATCATTAGAGAGTTGATCAAAGATTCATAGAAATATAAAACTTGTTGGTTTTTTCAGATTTGAGTGGAGCAGACAGAGAGCAGAGTCTCAGTGTTTCCTTGTAGGGTCGCTCAGTCACCTTGTAACGCTGTAATCTAATCTAAGAGGACTCTTACAAACCTTTGGACCTGCTCCTTATCCTCCTACTTCTCATTAGTACGTTTATTACCAACAGAAGATGTCGCTCAGCACGGCCCCTGTTTCAAAGAGTTTGTTATTGTCTCCGTTTAGTCTTTCCATCATCATCTGAT